ATTCTCGTAAATTTTAATCGGCGAGATATTTCTCTTCCATTCAACATAACTGAAAATATCGGATATTTTTAATCCAATGGAATTTATGGATACTTTAATTTATCGGATATACCACTTTTGTTTCTCGTTCTACTGTTACATGTATTCCATTTTTTCACATTTTCATTTAGTACACTTCAGCAAAGTGTGATAACAAAACTGAATGATGTCCATATTGTACGACTGTTAACTGACAATTCATGCAACTTGAACAAAGGGAGACCGATGACTAGGTAAAAGGTGAATCTCTTTTACGAAACCCCGCATGAAAACCAGCGAACGCAATCTCGGTAAACGGATCCGAGGGACAATCGGTCTGGGGAAAATCGAAGCTTCGCCCTGACAAAACAATTTTCTCTCCTCTCTCGACGAACCTTTTTCTGACGTCACGCGAGGCCAATCTTCGTCGACGTCAACCTTCGTTATAACCGACGTTACACTGCAGTTCTTTGCTGGATTCCCTTTAAGCTCCTGAACATTTCCCGACCGCAAACGAGTATCACGGCCAGCGATCGAACGCGGAGCTGCGTTTTCTCGAAACCGCGAAAACGATTCAACGAGATCTCGCATCAAACGTGAAACCGAATTCCGATGAAATGTTGGAAGCGATTGCGAGGCTTGAGTTTCGCTCAGCTATCGGCCGACAGTAAATAGCACGTAAATGGAAGCTGAAGGACAATCTCATTCGGTGTTTAATTAGCCGTGTTTCAAAGAACGCGAGCGAAAATACTGTGTTAAATGCGGCCCTGCCCGGGGGAAATAAAACGTCGCCTTCTGGACTTGGCGACTCGTGACCGTTGATTGGAAATCGACGGACGATGAAATTGGAAGTCGAATGCTGTCCGGGTTCCAGGAATATCTAGGATATGGACGTAGCGGGTAGCCACGCCTCGCGCCGAATCTCGTGAGCGTAAATGGTCTTATTACTCGGAAGGACTGACTACTGACTTGGCTGGTGGCTCGTTGACGATTGAATCGACTTACTCGAGATCACGAAGAATCATTAGGGAAACGCGATTCTCATAATAGACACGAATATCGATTTCAATTATTGGTAAACAAAATGTACGATGTTCCTAAACGTGTATTGCTACATATGAACATTTTCAATATTTTATTCAAAACAGTAACGTCATAAGGACCTGCACTGTACGTGCACATATTTGTATTCTGTATATACGTATGTATACTATATGTAGTTATATGTTTTGTACATGCATAAGAATAATTTAATAAACTCTAGGTAATTTTACTAAAAAATTAAGTTACATGTATTTTCACATATTTTAACCGATTTCTGCATAATGAACCGCTTTTACTTCCATCCTGGCATCATTTTTGCCCCCACAGTGTAGTCGCACCCCTTGAGTCGAGAGTAGCTATCAATCAATCAGCTAGCGCTCTGTCGATACCGACAGGGAAAGTAGGGGCTCGAATTGCGCGGAAATTAGTTTGGCGAGGTCGTCGAGGCCGAAAGAACGATTTCGGACGTACGCTTTCGTACTTCGTATTCTCCCCTCGAAATCTATTTATCATTTTTCGTCGGGACGGCGAGCAATCGCGCCGAGGGTCTCCTTCGAGTAATTTAATTATCCGTGTCAACCGGTCGGAAACGCGTGATTATTGATACGGAAACAATTCTGCTTGGTAACAGATCGATGAACGTGTCTCCGATATAATTGAAGATTCGTTATGTTCCCGACGTTACGACGAATCGGCGACTGCATGTTTTTGCATGGAGTATAATTCGAGTGTCCCAACTAGAGAGTTCGATTTGACAGAAAGTAAAACCTTACGGAAAATGAAGAATTCCTTATTATTCATGAATTAACTTCAAAATAAGAATTGAATTGAAAAGTTACATTCGTAGATTAGTTAAAAAAAATTTATTAGCAGCGAGAATTAATAATTCTTGATTTCGTTAGCTCATCTTTAGAATAAAACTGGAATTTAACAATATGGTGGTGCGTTATGGAGTCAAAAGTTTTGTACGATTATTAGTGTATACAAAAAATTTTCTGCTTTCAGTTAATATAAAATATTGCTTTGAGTAATAAATAGTAGCTTGATTAATGACACATTCCCAAGTTGGAACGTATGAAAAATATTATGTGGTGCAAAACCAATTGACTCTACGAAACAAATAAAAATGAAATATTTTTCTCAAAAACAAAAATATTTTTTAGAAAAAAGTGTACGAACGATACGGCCGCGAGGCTAAACCGGTAACGAAAACAGCGAAGCGGCGCCATATCAGAGAAAATAAGACCGCAAGGAGAAATATACCCGCAGAGAGCAAAAAATAAAATGAAAAAAATATGGGGGACAGCTTTAAATCTAACTGGATCGATCCCTAAAAGCGCTTTGAAAAAAATCTACATATGTGGAAAAGTAAAAGAAACACCTATAAAGATTATAGTGAATTTGGTTTTTGATGAAAAGTGAAAAACTATCAAATATTACAAAAAGGAAAAATATATACGAAATCATTAATAGTTTCGATCATTTTAATAATTTAAATAGTAAAAGTTTTAAAGCAAATTACGTGAAGGGAAAATTCAAAGAACTTTCGTAACCAGGATTAGAATTATGGAAATTCTACCGAATATAACAAGACTTCCAAGTTTGAACATAAGTTGAAGGGAGATCAACATTTATCTTTCATTTGAAATATTTTCAAATGCAAAATAAAGTTGAATCCTGACGGAGAACCGTTATCAGTATTATAAATTCATATGATATATTAATATTAATTATTTGGTGCCATACTGTCAATCATTATAGATAAGCCTAAACAATTAAGTAAACTTGCGAAAAGATTTTTGAACAAACATGCTTAACTCTTGAAACAGTGTAAAATATATATCACCATCCTTTTGTAATCGTACATTCTTGTATTTTTCCATCCCAAAGAAACATTTGCCTCCATTATAAAATACGTTCAGCCACGATCCCGCTAACGACGATAAAAAACAAAGGAAAAGCGGTGGGAAATTGAAGCTTGGAAAAGAAAAGAACGATGAAGTCGTTGAATACGGAAAAAGACTCGCGGTGGTTCAAGCCAGGTTTAGTAGAATTATCCATGGACGTATTCAGTGAATTGTAGGCGTCCAACTTCTAGTTTCCAGTGACCGTCGCAATTAAACGGACATTTTTAATCTCGGCTGACTTGGCCGAGATCCTCGTCATTGACGCCGCGTAAAAAACGTTTTCCGGATCAAATGAAAAGACAAGGATAACATCACACAGTATCCTGAAAGGGTTGTCGCCCTTTCAAAAGGGTTAAAGCCCTTTTTCCCAAAAAAGCGAGGTGAATTGGTTGAATGAAACACGCCGGATGTGGAAACTCGTGAATAACGCGGTAGTCACGCCTAGGACATGAAAGGAAATCTTTTAATGTTACCACGGCAAATTTCATTCATTGAACAGTAAATCAAAACAGAGGATTTATTTTTGGATCTAAGATAACTACATGAAATTTCATGATGCCTCCCTACGTAATTTGAGGAGGAGATAGCAAGCTTTGTATTTATTCAACAGCCACATTTCCGTGATCGTTGGGGTATTCATAAAATTGTGACCAAGGCATGGTTTACCGGTAAGAAAATATACGGTTTTACGGAGGAGTTCTCTTTCATGAAATATGAATGGCCCGATGGGAGCAAACTATCTCAATAACGTTGAGAGATGTCCAATGAATGTCCATTACGGTTAGGAGATATCCGTTTAAAATGTTTCTGCAACAATGAAGTTACAGTATGATACTTCCAGTGGATGATTTCATTCATTCAACATGATAAAAATAAAAATGCCAGCTCTCTATTGATGTATTATATAATTTAAAAATATTTTCTTCTGGAAATGTGTCATTTTTATTTAATGAGAATTATTAAATAGAATTTCTAATAAAGACTGGAATAAAGAATAAAATATCAAATTTTGTGAACGATAGAGGAATTAAAGCCTGTTAGTACATGAAGGATTCTTTAGGATTCAGTTAAATGAATGATGATAAATCACCTGCAAAATTTGCATGACAGCGTCCGGTAGCTGCCAGAATTTATGTACATACGATCAATACGCCAGCAGACGATAATTAAACGTCAAATGCACCCATTAGAAAACGAAGTTTCGCGTTCTAGCCACAACCGAAAGCGCATAATTCGCCCACCTAGCACCGCCAATCATTATAATTGACGATCTATACGCGTATAATATTTTAATGTGACTGCCCCCAGCGTTATTTAACTATTTCGGATTTTATTATATTTTAAAAGTTCAAATTGAATAAACTGAATTTTTTATTTAGCAATTTTTTAATAATACAACGCTTTGATATTATACTGTTTGGAAGTGTTAACGTGTGAAAATCTAATGATTCTGGATATTCGTGGAAAACAATGGCAATTTTCAAATTCTTCAAATACATGTATTCATTTCTTGCATCCATTTTATTATTGTTCTCGAACATTTCATAAAATTGTTTTGCCATTATTTTCACTCTTCTGTCCTTTTACTCGTAATCAGTAGATATCACATCATTAATCAGAATATTCATATTTAGTAATTATTTGCAAGGTCGATACATGAAAAATCATGAATAAATAAAGTACTCATTTTCTCTCTCAAGCGGATGCAGAATTATTCGGAGTATCCGTCTGCTTCGGACTGGATAAAATATGAATCTTTTTTGTCAACCTGTTTTTTCATCGACATTTCTCTTTGCATATCCGCGGACGAATAGGACATTTCCCAGCTTCGATTTCGCGACCACCCAGTGAATCTCTCAGGGTCCACGTTATATTTTACTGCTGATTTCTGAGAAACGCGAGCACGTTCGTATGCAGGTCCGATCTCGATCTCGAGGTAGCAAATATCTCGGCGGAAATCGCGAAATTTTTCCAATGTAAGTTCACGACGCGCGGAAAATAGCGAAAGCTCGTGGAAATTCTAGCACTCACCTCCTCCCAAACGAGTTGTTTGCTCACTCCCGGACGAAGATTCATGATTTTCAGTTCGGCCGCCTTCAGAACGCCGTCCTGAGTGAATTCCACGTTCGGCTTACCCTGATCACCCTCTACCGAGACGTTCTTCAAGTACCTGGGTGCAGTCGAAATGCGAATCTCCTTTAAAAACAACGTGTCGGCATGATTTAATTTTAATATGTAAATTCACCAGTCTTAAGTGTACGTCGTAATTAAAAAATGTATTAAGTCTAAAACAGAAGCTTATTGCATACAGAATTTTAGAAATGTGATATATTAATAATATATTATATATTATATAATAATGTATTAAAAACGATGGATGATTGACCCTCTTATATGTGAATATTATTCTTTGCATAAAGCACACATGTTTTAAAGGTTCACAAATACTTTTTGAAGTATGAATATGAAAACAAGAGACTATTATAATTCTGACATGAAAAGGTTGTTACAATTCTTTTATACGTTAAGGGATTAATAAGGTGGCTTTTTAACGTTATACAGAGTGCATTTATTAAAAGTAATTATTACTCTACCGTTACTTTGAGTTTGTTTGCAATTATTATAATCACCCAGGGAAACGAGTCTCCGCTATTTAAAATGTACCCCGTACCTTCGTAACGATGAATAATTACCCTTCGTCTTTTATTCCTATTTTTCTTTGTCTCAAGTTCCTAATTCCTCTCATTTAGAAGGTGCCACTTACTTGGTCCATGAATAATGGAGCTCGCTTCGGGTGCTAGTCAATTGTCCACTAAAGTCTACACTTTAATTAGAAGCGATCCCGAGAGGCAACAGTATATAACACTGGACTCAGTACGAACGTTCAAACACGTATATCCAATTTTCATAATTTGCAGAAAAATTGAATTTTATATTGCGAAAGTCCCAACAAATTATAGTAAGCCTGAGAATATAATTGTTATTCGTACTCTGAGTGTAACTAATCTAACCAGAATTGTCATATATATTCATATATATTAACATCATTTAATTGTTGAATTTACTATACACATGTAGCTTCGTAATAACCGTAACGGCGTAATTTGGCCGATTAATTAAACTCTTGTTTTGCGATAATTGAAACTGACAATTGTACTGGATAATTGTGACTGTCTTTTAATACCTGTGATTTTAATGAGAGTATATTAAGACCGCTCTGTTAAAATATGGCGTTTAATGATACTTGGAATCTATAGAATTTGATATATATTATTTAATACATATCGACACATATCATTTTATATTAAAATTCCAATACAATATTCGTGATACTCGTGATACTTGATATCTCTTAAATATATTTGAACACAAATAACTATTTTCTGAATCGTAAAATAAAAAAAAAACGTTTCAAAATGTCCAAACAAATGAAAATACAAATATAAATTTCCAGAGAAATCGTTGGACGTAAAATGGAATTCTGGAGAGAAGCCAGATAAATAGAAAGGTCTGAAGAAAAACAGGTAATTACTTGAAAAACAAGTCGCCAGTCTTCCAGCGGGACTCTCCGCTTCCCTCGCAGCTCAACTGAGTGTTCAGACTCAGATTCCTGTTGGCCGTATTCTTCAGGAAATCTTCCACTCCGTATGCATAAACCTTCACCGCGGTCGTGATTTCGCTGACCAGGCTGTCCGTGCTCGTGTCAAAATGAACTCCTTCAGAACCAAATCAAATGAGAAATAATGTTAATCACAGTTATAATAATTTATTCTTGTCACGAAGTACAATATTCGTCTAAAGTGCTTCATATGAAAGATATAGCACTTTACCACAGTATAAGATAAAACAGTAGGTTCACTCTGTCAAGAAGTGTACTAATAATTGACTCTTGTTGATGACCTACTATTTTTTTTTATACTATGACTCTACTATGTATCATGTTTTAGTTTAATCGGTTAATTTTATAAGTACAATAAAATGTGAAGAGTATTGCATAAAATTGTTTGTCGTTCATTAAATACAATTTCTATATAAATCTCAATTATACTTTTGTAAATTCAGAATTACGATAAAGCGCGTTTGGAACTCGATTATGAACAGAGCTGAAGCTTATCGGCACGGGTATCCATAGCAAAACGCAGGACAAAGGACAGACTGGTTGACAGACAGGATTCGCTCGGGTGGATTTAATTAAATTCTTTTCGAAACAACTCTCCATCGAGTGGCCGTTAGAACAAGAGATATGATCGATAGAGCGTAAACGTTCGATCCATGTTCTTGCAAATAAATCACTGAACGTTCATCCCTTCGCCCTTTTTTCATTTTTTACGCTAAAAGTTACTGTCTGCTATATATTGATTGAAATGACTGCCTGGTACGACGGCGCACAGAATTTATAATATAAATGGAGATTTGTGATAATTTGTACATGATGACGTATGAATTATGTATGCCTGTGTTTATGCAGGCAGTGCTTTGCAGTTTGCAAAAATTAGGATGACGTGTTATATAAAATGTACGTAGAAAAAATAATACTAGAGGTGTTAAAGCAAGAGTTATACTTTAGATGTAAAATTGTGAATATGATTCAGATGATAGTTTAGCAAAGAACTGATTGTGTGAACTTTTTTTTATCCAATACACAGTACAGATTTTATTATGCTATAGGGATTGATCATGAAGGAAATGAGCTATACTTATACGGAGAGTTATAATATTATTACATAATTCTAAAAATTGCTTTGATGAAGATTTGCATATTTGAGAAAGATTTGTCATTTAAAATTTCCGTACTCGTTAAGCACGTACACATTTCTGCAATTAATGCATGTTCTATTTACGCCCCAAGCCCTTGGATTCAGCGCAACGTTTCCGCATTCTATATTTCCTTTGGATGATATATGATATTTCGGTGACAAGAACACGCGGCTTTGAAAATCGACTGTATGCACATCTATACACGTATATACAAACACATGACCGCCCGCTGCGTGGGTGCCGTTCACGGCCGAAATCCCAGAGAAAAGGACATTTTTTCACGAATACCAATCCGACGGTCTCCCGGGATATCCGTTTTCCTCTATCATTTTTTTCATACTTTCTCTACCCCTATTCACGTAACTCAATGTCTTTACCGCGCAGACGGCCAGGCGACATCATTATAGTGCGTTTTTCTCGAGGAGGTATTAAATCCGGACTGTTTTCTGTCATACAGACATTCATTTATGTGACAATTCACCGTTAATATCTATCAACTTTCTAAAAAATCTTACTTTTACAGAAGGAACTCAATTATGAACAGAGCTGAAGCTTATCGGCACGGGTATCCATAGCAAAACGCAGGACAAAGGACAGACTGGTTGACAGACAGGATTCGCTCGGGTGGATTTAATTAAATTCTTTTCGAAACAACTCTCCATCGAGTGGCCGTTAGAACAAGAGATATGATCGATAGAGCGTAAACGTTCGATCCATGTTCTTGCAAATAAATCACTGAACGTTCATCCCTTCGCCCTTTTTTCATTTTTTACGCTAAAAGTTACTGTCTGCTATATATTGATTGAAATGACTGCCTGGTACGACGGCGCACAGAATTTATAATATAAATGGAGATTTGTGATAATTTGTACATGATGACGTATGAATTATGTATGCCTGTGTTTATGCAGGCAGTGCTTTGCAGTTTGCAAAAATTAGGATGACGTGTTATATAAAATGTACGTAGAAAAAATAATACTAGAGGTGTTAAAGCAAGAGTTATACTTTAGATGTAAAATTGTGAATATGATTCAGATGATAGTTTAGCAAAGAACTGATTGTGTGAACTTTTTTTATCCAATACACAGTACAGATTTTATTATGCTATAGGGATTGATCATGAAGGAAATGAGCTACACTTATACGGAGAGTTATAATATTATTACATAATTCTAAAAATTGCTTTGATGAAGATTTGCATATTTGAGAAAGATTTGTCATTTAAAATTTCCGTACTCGTTAAGCACGTACACATTTCTGCAATTAATGCATGTTCTATTTACGCCCCAAGCCCTTGGATTCAGCGCAACGTTTCCGCATTCTATATTTCCTTTGGATGATATATGATATTTCGGTGACAAGAACACGCGGCTTTGAAAATCGACTGTATGCACATCTATACACGTATATACAAACACATGACCGCCCGCTGCGTGGGTGCCGTTCACGGCCGAAATCCCAGAGAAAAGGACATTTTTTCACGAATACCAATCCGACGGTCTCCCGGGATATCCGTTTTCCTCTATCATTTTTTTCATACTTTCTCTACCCCTATTCACGTAACTCAATGTCTTTACCGCGCAGACGGCCAGGCGACATCATTATAGTGCGTTTTTCTCGAGGAGGTATTAAATCCGGACTGTTTTCTGTCATACAGACATTCATTTATGTGACAATTCACCGTTAATATCTATCAACTTTCTAAAAAATCTTACTTTTACAGAAATTCTAGATAAATAATTATAGATTCTTGTAATAAATAAAAACAATATAATATCAAGTAGATATTTTCTGAAATGTTGATTTTAATATTCTTGAAAATAATTGTGAATATTGGTCCCTTATAATACAAATGTAAATTTATTTAATTGAACATAAATTTAATAATTGAACATAAAAATAAAATAATTTTAAAGTTTAATCAATGAACAATTTATTTAATATTACAAATACAAACTTTTATTTGTTGTCATTTGTTTACGCTATTGAAATTTTGTGAAAGGAAACGTAAACATGATGTAGGAAATGAATCCAGCTTGACCAAGCATAAATATCTGGGAACGTCGACTTGCGAAATGGGAAAAGAGAGATTTAATGGAAATTAGAGAAAAGTCGTCCGGCTACTACAGTAATTTCGTTCCATAGACGTTATTACGCTGCGCACGTATCCTTTTTACAATTCACGAAATTACATACGAGGGAGATAAAAGTTTCGCGCAGAGATTGTTTCCTATTGTGTCCCATTGTCTAATAAATAATCAATGTTGCATCCAGCATTTTAAAATATTCTACTGGAAATTCTTTATTCATTTGGTAACTACAATAATCGATCTTTGTAAATTCAGCAGTGGAAAAATTTATAAAGAGATTATATTTTGATTTGTTGCAAAAATTCTTTCTACAACGTCAGAACTATAACAAGCTGTTACTATCATTTGATCATTCATAATCGAAATCATTAAAATGATATAGTATAATGAATATCGATTAAAACATAATGGAAGAGATTTGCCATTAGAGTCTCAGCTAAGGTCAAATGGCGATGGATTCGATATTTTGAGTAGCCAACGATTGCTTTGAAAAGAACGTTCAACGGCGGGGTGAGAATCACGGAAATCGGAAATTGATGCTTTACTCAAGATCCCGTTACGGCGAGGTTACCCTCCTAGGAGGAATAAATTCATCGAAATCTATTCTGCGAGCACATCGAATATATATAAGCATGTATACGTATATGTACATAGTAGCTATGTATCCATCTTCCTATGTACCTCGTTCGCGTAGAATATCAGGTAGTGGCTATCGACTGATTTTCCAATAGATAGAACGTACTTTTGTTCGGCTTCCATTAAGCATTTCATCGAAATTCGGTTACAATGTTATGTACAAATGTTGAATATCTTAAAAAGTACATATTTTGTATTATAGCCTCTGTCCACTGCAGAACATTATGTTGATTTGATTTTTAAAGTTTAATTCAATAACTATTTCGCTATTGCATAATTAATATGGACATGATATCATTCACGATTTTATAATACTTTCTCTTACAATACAAATATCTCTGTGTTCAAACCACTTAGCAAGCGAATTCTCTCGAACGAAATTCTCAAATTGCTTAGAATGACCACAACGGACGGTATGAATATTGCATGAAAATTTCACGTTTGCTCGAATGTCTAAATCCAACTCGACCATCCGCCGGAGTCCCGCTATGTACTCAGGGCGGTATTCAGTTCTACTCACCGAGCATTCCAACCGGGAACTGGCTGGGCGTCTGCAGATTCTCGATGACGCTCTGTGTCACCACCCATACGTAGTTCTCGCCGGTGATCTTGTAGTCGTGCGCCGCTGCCAAGATCCTGACTGCCTCCTCCCTGGTCGCGTACAGCAGCATCACCCTGGACTCGCTGTTGACCAGCTCGAGCAGGTCCCGCGGGTCGGTCACTAGGATCGCGTTCAGTATCGTGAACTTGAAGGTGTCCTGCATCTCGGAGATTCGCTCCCGTATCGCCTGCACGAAATCGTCGTGTCCGGCAATCTGCGAGGTGATCACGCTGAATTGGTGCCATTTGTACCTCTCGAGGATGCTCAGCATCGCGGCGGTCTGATGCTCCAGCGACGGTGCTAACTGCAGCTGCAGATTGCTCTGCGAGGCCCTCTAAAACACCGTAGACTGATATCAACGCGCTTTATGAAATGGTCTTAACGAACATATTGTTAGCGACTGTTAAATCAATCGACATTTTCTGGCACTGTCAATCACACGATTTGGTTAACCATAATCAAATCATCTCTAAAATAGATTGCATACTGAACAGAGTTTAGAGAACTCGTTGCCTTCAATTTATTAGAAACTATAATTCAAACATTCTGTAATACATGCATTTACTTGTATAGTATAATGATTCATAGATTCGACTAACCATGTTCATAGATGGAATTTTAATCATGTTACAGTGTTATTATTTAAAATAATACAACTACAAATGCAAGAGCATTCTTTCGAACTGTCAATAGAATAATAAATCTAGAAAATAAATGTACGATAGAGATTCATTTGAAACGCATACTTTTTTGAACAGGAGCTTATATAAAATATTTCTCCAAGCGAAGTCGTTCGCCATTGAACAATTTGTAGGAGGAAAACTGAAAATAGAAAAGGAGAATAGGAGGAACGACTCACCCGCTCTAATCCGGAGTTATCCGCGTTCCAGGCGATCACTGGAATTCCCAAGTAACCGGCTAACTGTAGAAAGTATTGAGCACTGGCAGTACTGCGGCCATACTTTTCGTAATTCATCAGGTACAGGATGGCAGACACGTTTACCGGTAAAAATTCCTTGCACAACGATTTCAGTATCTCTGTAACACAAATGAAACACCATCGTTATATTATATTGTTTAGAATTATTATTTCCTCTTTTGCCTTATTTCATTTTACACTATTATGTTTGTATGTATTTTCTGATTGATATAATTTATTTTAAAAACTTTTTCTGCATAAGTATTCATTATATACACATTATATTACTGGCAGTAATAACATTTGTGTGATTTTTAATATAGATATCATCGGTGCGGGCTGCGATTTATAGTATTCGCTCGCTGATACCATTTCGAAATGTTCTCTTTCGCGTTTCACGCGCTCTTATAAATGGCCACAATAAATGTTACGATCGCGAAGAAACAACGTGAACCGAATGCCAGAATAGCTGTCCCAATTGATGGCCAGCAATAAACTTTGCGAAAAGTCCTGTCACTCGTCGGACACTGATATGGTAGTTCTGCGGAAACGCCGAGAAAAATGAAATTCCAAATAAACGGAAACACATTTCATCGTATTCTCATTAATGAAATATACATATGAGCAGTTCTAATTCTGTCTCAAGGAATCGAGAGATGCCTTGTCCACTACTGTTATTAACTGTTGGAAGAAATAAGGCGCATCAGCCACGTCGCAGTTGATAATCTTTACGCGTTTCCTTTCTCCACTCATTCTGTTCTTTGCAGTTTACAACAACGCGATTATGGTTGCTGTTATCTTGGGCGCGACGCATCCAATTCTTAACAGCTATTTCTTTGAATATAATATTAAAGTGAAAATTGCATAAAAGAGAACATAAATATTACATTTCATATCGTAGTACATAAAACAATAAAAATTGTATCATATATAATAAGAAATAGAGTTTACAACAACTCGATTATGGTTGCTGTTATCTTGGGCGCGACGCATCCAATTCTTAACAGCTATTTCTTTGAATATAATATTAAAGTGAAAATTGCATAAAAGAGAACATAAATATTACATTTCATATCGTAGTACATAAAACAATAAAAATTGTATCATATATAATAAGAAATAGTTGATAATTAATTTTAAACAAATTTATTATCTGCATACACATAATGATTTGTCAATATTTTATTTTACGAGCTTTCATTTCACTTACCACATTTTCAAATGTTTTTCTGAAATCGTCATATAGTAACTTAACTATGAAATAAATTTTATAGCTCTTTTCCTGTTGGTCGAATCTCCCCGTCTTCGATATACATAATTGGAATGAAAACATAAAATCATAGCCGATATCCGATCCTGACCTGTCCCGCAAAAGCTCGTCGTTTCCACCACTTGATACCGGCGTGACCCCGTTCTGCCTTCGTTCTCATTTCTGCCCCCTACCTTTCTGTCGTCCCTGTCCCTGTTGCATTATTCTTCCAGGTTTCTTAATTTCACTTCTTATTTACGATTAGATATTCCGCGCGACAGAGTTTTATGAACTCCAGGAAATTCTAATGAAGACATGACTAGCCATTTTACACATGACAGGATAAAAAACGAAGAACAGGACGAAGGTTCGCAGTTTTCATTGTTGTCTTCTGTTATTATTATTCTCTTACATGCAGTATTAAAACAGTAATTAAATGGAATTTTAAATAAAAGTTACACAATATTTCTTATTTTATAATTATAGAAATTGTATAAAATTTTTTAGTTAAACTCGAAATATCAATAAAATTATAATAAACTGTACAAAACTATATAATTACTTATAATAAAATTTGTTTCACGTTCCTGATCAAACGTGTAAAGAATTTACAGTTTGCATTGACAATAGGAAATATGCATATAATCTCATTTATTTTAACTTCTTCAAATTCAACTAATTCAACAATCCACCAAAATATTCTTTTCTCTCCTCAAGAATGACAGACCGTCCATCGGTATGTCCGACCATAACCGTCGCACATTCCTGTGGCTCGTTTATGGTCGAGTACTACCACTACTTCCACCAAACAGCGGACGCAAATCCATACCTAGCGTGAACTGAATCTTCCGATCGTGATAAGACTCGTTCGATCGTAGTCAAACATAAAACTTAGTTTGACGCATTCTGATCTAATCAGATTGTACGTGGAATTTATTATTCACGGTTCCAAATATCCGGGATAGACCTGAAACACCCATGACATTCGGTTTTACCGATTGAATGAATTATTAACAACAATGTTTATCGGGTTGAAAATGAACCAATGATGTCCAACGCGTCGAATTGCATTATATTCACGTTATTGTACTTGAATTGTGCACACAGGGATGGGCGAAACGGTCGCGCGAAAGATTCACCATCGGCAATCGTCCATATCCGGGTGTCCGGCGCGGTGGTCACTGACGTCGAACTGATCCCACCGTAATATGTGTACGTATGTATAAACTGAACAATAACTAGTGTATTCAGTTTGTCATGTCCCGTGTCGCCGTGTACACGTCAACCGAAACAACGATCGTAACGCATAGCCATGACCACCGCGTAGACTCGATTTTAATCCAAAAGCGACATTGACACGTGCAAATTACTGGCGCTGATCTGATTTGAAGACAAATCAGTATTCTTGGCTTCGATTTAATTCGATACTGCTTGTCAGAAGAATTTCCCATGTAATATTGTTACAACTATATAAAAATTGTTAAATAAATTATATCTATAAAATATACCTGAGCTGCAAGTTTACCTGATTTTAATTTATTATTTAATAATTCTAAGTGAATCTTTCCACTTTCGATATGTTTCTTTAATTTCCTAATAATACGCGTCATTTAACGAGCTTATGCTGAGTGATTTATCATCGATCCATTAGCATAACACTGTTTAGTAAACAATGGACGTATCAACAGAAAATTAGAGCCGCATGATCAGAGATGTAGCCGAGCGTGTACCGGGGATAACATAGTCTTTGATCAGAAGCGTTGCGTTCACCGAGCGGCTGCTTCTTAGACCAACTCAGTAAGAATGTAATAGCGTAGCCTGTTTAGCAACGAGCGTAATAT